GCTTGGGAACTTCCTAAAATATTTTTACTACTAAGCTGTAATTCCAGGATCTATGTCTATTTCAAAAGCCTTTGACTTGAAATTTATATTAGATGTGTGTTTCAATTTACTACATCCTTGCTACTTCTTGTCATCCATGTACGGAAAGCTTGGTATCACTTTGGAGCTTGTTAGAAATGCAAAATCTCAGTCTTGTCCACATTTGCTGAATCATAATCAGCACTTTCACTAAGGTTTCCAGGTGAGTCCCATAGGTACACAATCAACATTTCCTGGTGACAGACTACACAATGAACACACAAATTGTATTGGTCTCTTTATTTCTATTTTCTCTCCAGCATTAGCCCATACGATACATTTTTGTCAAATTACCTTTCTAAAATAGTAGTTTATTATGTCAATTCTGCTAAAAAGAAATTGCTTCAAATTTAACTGAATGGGGCACTTCTGCCTAAATTGCAAAGCCTTTTCAAAATCTGGCCTCAAATTTCTAACGAATTTTACCTACTTATTTTTTGACCTGAACCTCCTGTTAGTCTGGCCTGACCTTAGTAACTATTCATTTTACTTCTCTATATAGTATTAGTTTTTATTTCTCTATTTTTGGTCACTCCTTTTCCTACTTAGATTAACACATCCTCTTTTCCTCTTTAAATCCTACTTATTTTTTAAGTTTTAGCTAAAGTTGCACCTTTATAAAATGCCCTCTCATTGCTGTAGCCCAAGGTGACACTATTCTTCTGATATATTTAAATAAATAATATCTTGTTTCCATAATGATAGTGAAGAATTATGAGTTGTTTTGTTTTGTTTTATTTGGAGACAGAGTCTCACTTTGTTGCCTAAGCTAGAGTGCCGTGGCATCAGCCTAGCTCACAGCAACCTCATGTTTGTTAAGGCTCCTGGCTCTAGCAATCCTCCTGCCCTAGCCTCTGAAGTAGCTGGGACTATAAGTGCCCGTCAATATGCCCAGATAATTTTTCTATTTTTAGTAGAGACAGGGTCTTGCTCTTGCTTAGGCTGGTCTTCCCACCTTGACCTCTCAGAGTGCTAAGGTTATAGGCATAAGCCACTGTGCCTAGCCAGAATTATGAATTTTAATTTTAAGAAATTTAGATTCCATTTCCACCTCTGCTACCAACTAGTTGTATACTGCTGGCAAATTACTTAACATATCTGGGTTTTAAAATGTGTCTTTTTAAAGCAAAAACTAGGAACTTCAATAGTACGATGTTCCAAATAATATCAGAAAATATGACTTAGGAAATGTATTTTAATATATACATTATATTTATAAATTAATGCCTTTCAAATATAATTGTTAAGTCTCAGGTACTTCAAGTACCCCTTCTATAATTTTCACAGTGCCATTAAATTACCGTGTTTCTAAATAAAGGGTACAATAGCAATTGTACAACAAGCAAAGGCACAACAGCTCAAACTCAATTCAAATGGTTAGAAAGTCTTACTTTTCTATTTCACGTTGATTGCCAAAATTATGGTAAGTGATAAGAGTAAGAGCTAAAAAGTGGAATCATAAACAGCTTAACAACCAGACTCAAAACTTTTTAGTGACACGAATACAGCTGTCACTCCCTACCCTTATCTGTCATAGCTGAGTAAGGGGTCTGTACTCCCTGATATTCTTGAACCATTTCTCTCCCTCCTTTAAATCTTGGGTAGAGTTTCTCCTGACTGATTGTTTCCCCGGAGAGCTTTGCACAGAGGTTTCTGTATGACAACATTTGCTTTCCTTAGCAAATGGCTACAGAGGAAGAATAATGAAGAGGAGGACAACCTTTACAGAACATCAGCAGGCTGTAGATTAAATGCACCTTGTTTCCTTTGCTAAACTCCTAGCACAGATTTCCATTAGAACAGTTATAAATTCCTTCCTCCCACATTCTGCTCTGCTTTCTAAAACCATTCACTTTGAAATGCTTTAATACAGCATTCCAAGACTGAGAAAACCAAGATTTGCATCAATTGTTTTTTGAAAAAATTATTCTCATTTTGATATAAGGTGTTGCTATCAGAGAAAAAGGTATATGCTAGAGATTTGTACATTCTCTGAATTGCCTGTACCTGCTTATAATTTTGTTGTTCTTTATACTGTTTTCAAGTATGGTTTGGAGTTGAACATAACATCAACATTAATTTTGGAGTTGAATATAATATCAACGGTTTTTTTTTTTTTTTTTTTGAGACAGAGCCTCAAGCTATCCCCCTGGGTAGAGTGCCATGGCATCATGCTCACAGCAACCTCCAACTCCTGGGCTCAAGCGAGTCTCCTGCCTCAGCCTCCCAAGTAGCTGGGACTACAGGCGCCCGCCACAATGCCTGGCCATTTTTTGGTTGCAGCCATCATTGTTGTTTGGCGGGCCGGGCTGGGAATTCGAACCCACCACCTTAGGTGTATGTGGCTAGCGCCTTAGCCGCTTGAGCCACAGGTGCCGAGCCAACTTTTTTTTTTTGAGACAGAGTCTCACTTTGTTGTCCTGGGTAGAGTGCTGTGGCATCATAGGTCATAGCAAACTCAAACTCTTGGTTCATGTGATCCTTTTGCCTCAGTCTCCAAAGTAGCTGAGACTATAGGCACTGACTACAACACCTGGCTATTTTTAGAGACAGAGGTCTCATTCTTGCTTAGGCTGGTCTCAAAACTCCTCAATCCACCTGCCGTGGCTTCCCAGACTGCTAGGATTACAGGCATGAGCTACCCCTCCCAGGCAATATCATTAATTGTTACGGAATTTCCACCACAAATCAACAGTGTGGATTGGAGACAATTACATATTGGCATACCAACATATGGGCCTTCAATGGTGTTTTTGGCCTCTATGGTTAGATAATAGCAGTAAGTATAGCAGGTGTCCTCAAACTACAGCCCACAGGCCACATGCGGCCCACAAAGGACATTTATCCAGCCTGCCAGGTGTTTTTGCCGCCGCTGCCTGTCCTGTTTAGCAGCCGACTCATCCCGGGGCCCGCAATCTGGCCCTCCAACAGTCTGAGGGACAGTGAACTAGCCCCCTGTTTAAAAAGTTTGAGGACCCCTGATGTATAGCATATTAAATATCTTTTCTAAGAATGCAGAAATATAACAATTAGAGGGAGAATGGACAGAATTATAGTCCAGAAGAGCTTAGGATAAAAATGCTTTTACTTTCTAATACTTCTTACTACAGCTCACAAATGCACTTGGAGGTAGGGCCAGAGCCATTGGTAAGGGGGAAAACACTGCTAAAGAATCTGGAGTTTCAGGCCTACTTGCCTATCTGTGTGCTTTTAAAACTCTTGGATTCATCCTATCGCTTCTTAGAAGTTGATTTTTGTCTTTAAAAACCAATGCCAGGCACAGTAGTTAGCGCCTTTGTAATCTTAGAACTCTGGGAGCCGAGCTGGTGGACAGCTTGAGCGTAGGAGTTCAAAACCACCCTGAGTAAGAGTGAGACCTCATCTCTACTAAAAACAGAAAAACTAGCCAAGTATTGTGCCAGGCACTTGTAATTCCAGTTACTTGGGAGACTGAGACGAGAGGATTGCTTGAGCCCAAGAGTTTGAGGCTGCTATGAGCTATGATGCTATGGCACCCTATCTGGGTGACAAAGTGAGAGTCCGTCTCAAAAAGACAGAAGAAAAAAGTTATGTCCATCAGGATAGTTTTTAGGTGCTTGAAATTTATATGAAAGAATAAATTACTCAGGTCCAATTCAAATACTGAATCCCCCTCCCTCCATGGGTTCTTTCTATTTCCTTCTGAGGATTAGGGAACCTAAGTGATGCCAGTAACTTATACACTGGCTTCATTAGCATGGGCCCTAAGCTGGCTAGTTACTTAATAATAAACTTCTTTAGAATGACATTTGAAAATATATGAAATAGCCTCTACTTCAATGTTCTCAAGAGAAATAAAAAAATATCAGGAGGAAAGAAGAGAACTTTAAAAGGTGAGAAGACACAAAGGTACCTTTTAGTAAACCTGTGTCCAAGGTTCAGACTGTGTCCAATTTGACTACTAGATCAAGTTCAGAGCATACCATGAGAAATGGCTGGGGAGCACTTCTTAAAAAACACATTTGAGTACTGAGAAATACTCATCTTAAGGGAAGAGGGTCTATGCGTAATGAGCCTCACTCAATAACAGGTGATAAGTGAGAAAGGGGTGATTATGATGAAAGATACATCATGGTACTCGTCACTCAGATTTGTCTCCACTTGGCTGATGTCTGGGTATTATAAAAACAGGCATCACTAGATGCCTCTAGTGAACGGGAAATAGCAGCTGCTGGAACACAGCCCAGCAGCAGCCTTGTGTGGTAGTGGGATGGTCAGGGGCACAATGTAAGGATAGATAGCAGAACTCTTGGGTGGGGGACACAGCTATGAATGAATAGCGCAGATTATACACACTATGAATATAGTGTGCATAGGAACAGTACTTTTACCATTTGCTTCACTGGGAAAAAACTAGCACTATTAAAAAAGATCCCTATGGGGTGGTACCTGTGGCTCAATGGGTAGTACGCCGGCCCCATATACCAAGAGTGGCGGGTTCCAACCTGACCCCGGTCAAAGTGTAACACAAAATAGCCGGGCATTGTGGGGGGGCGCCTGTAGTCCCAGCTACTCAGGAGGCTAGGGCAAGAGAATCGTCTAAGCCCAGGAATTGGAGGTTGCTGTGAGCTGTGATGCCATGGCACTCTACCAAGGGTGATAAAGTGAGACTCTGTCTCAACCCCCCCCCCAAAAAAAAACCCTATGAGCATAACATACCCACAGGCAAGTGAAATATTTCTCCTATTGTTATAGACAAACTGAGAAAATATTTATCACTGAAGGACACAGACATCTCATAATTCTTTGGCTTCTGAAGAATGAGACAAATGAAAATTATGATATTAAATTTCTGTCTCTTTAGCAGCAATTCCACCTAGTTAGCATTTTAAATATTCGTGTTTGTACAGTAACTACTTTAAAAAATAAAATCTAATACTTACTTGTCTCCCACAATTCCCAAGTTGATTGTGGGGTAACCATGCTCCTGAATTGTTGCTAGGAGAGTTGAACGATTGCTGTCTCGAATCTTTCCTGGTAAGAGGTCATCTTCAGGATTTAGCAGCTACAAAGCCAAAAACCATCACAGATTATTCTTTTTAGCATAATCTTGCCTATTGCTAATGAGAAAAAGAAATCTACTAAATAGAATTAAGCATATCTAGCACCTACTATAGTACTTGGCATATAGAAAGTATATGCTTCAAACATCTTTTGAGTCAACATTAAAAGTGCAGAAGGATGAGAAAATGTTCCTACAGAAGTAAAGAAAACTGCAGACATTTGGATAGTGATTGAGCAGCAGGCCAAATGTCACACCTTTGGCCACAATAATTCTCTAGAATTTTATTGTGGGCTGTCAAGTAATTGGTTACTGCGACAAACTAAACAATTATCTTTTTTCCTTTCACTATTATTTACCAATTTGTCTTTCGCTGGGACACTTGAGGTAGTGACTATGTGACATGATATTCTCAAGTCTAAAGAGAATGATACTTTATCTTTTCTTTCAAGTTTTTTGATCTCTTTTCTAAAGTGGGGTCAACAGTATTAAAGAACTTAAACTTATATGAAGAAGAAGGAGACAGATTTTTTTTTAATTAAGTCAAATACACATAGATCATGAATACATTCATGCATATGTGGGGTACGATGTGCTGATTTTTTTAATACAATCTAATGTGGTTACATTAAACCAATCAACATAGCTTTCATCTCATTTACTTGATTATCGTGCCAAAACATCTATGTTCTACACTTCACAGGTTTGACTTGTACCCTTGTCATATGCTCCATAGGTGTGGTCCCGCCTTTTACCATCCCTCTGTCAAACCTCCCCACACCTTTCCACTCTATTTCTCTCCTTCATCCTGGGTTATAGTTGTGTTCTATCTTTCATAAGAAAGTGTGAGTAAATATAAGTAGGTTTCATAGACGTACTAAGTACATTGGATACTTTTTCCTCTATTCTTGAGACATTTTACTCAGGAGAATATGTTCCAGATCCCTCCATGTAAACATAAAAGACGTAAAGGCTTCATCTTTTTTAAGGCTGAATAGTATTCCATGGCATATATACACCACGATTTATTAATCCATTCACGGGGTCCTGATGGGCACTTGGGCTTCTTCCATGGCTTGGCTATTACGAATTGAGCGGCAAAGAATAATCTGGTTCAAATATCTTTCTGGCAAAGTGATTTTTGGTCTTTTGGATATACTCCTAGTAAAGGAATTGCAGGATCCAATGGCAGGTCAATTTGTAGATCCCTGAGTATTCTCCAAACTTCTTTCCAAAAGGAACAAACTAGCTTGCATTCCCACCAGCAGTGCAGAAGTGTTTCCTTTTCTCCACATCCACGCCAACATCTGTAGTTTTAGGATTTTGTTATATGGGCTACACTTACTGGAGTTAGATGGTATCTCAAAGTGGTTTTGATTTGCATTTCTTTGATGATTAAAGATGATGAATATTTTTTCATGTGTTTGCAGACCATGTGCCTGTCTTCTTTAGAGAAGCTTCTGTTCAGGTCTCTTGCTCACAGTGAAATTGGATCACTTGTTCTTTTCTTACTGATAACTTTGAGTTCTCTGTGAATTCTGGTTATCAGACCTTTGTCAGAAATGTAACCTGTAAATATCCTCTCCCATTCTGAGGTCAGTCTGCTTGCTTTACTTACTGTGTTCTTGGCAGTGCAGAAGCTTTTTAGTTTGATCAGATCCCAGTAATGTATTTTGCTTCAATTGCCCTGGGGGTCCTCCTCATAAAGTTTCCCCCCAGACTAATTTCTTTAAGTGTTTCTCCTGCACTCTTTCCAAGAATCTTTATGGTTTCATGTCTTAGGTTTAAGTCTTTTATCCAGTGAGAGTCAAGTTTTGTTAGAGGAGAAAGGTGTGGGTCCAGTTTCAGTCTTCTACAAATTGCCAGCCAATTCTCCCAGCACCATTTATTAAATAGGGAGTCTTTTCCCCAATTTAAGTTTTTGATAGGCTTATTGAAGATCAAATGACATTAAGTGCCTGGATTCATTTCTTGGTTCTCAATTCTATTTCATACATCTACCTCTATTTTTGTGCCAATACCATGCTGTTTTGATCACTATAGATTGAAGTCATTATAATTTTATAAAGTCTTGTGGCTTTTTAGCTCCATTAATCAAAACAGTTGCTTCAGAAAGAAATGGTGTGGTTATATTACTTTTTATTTTTTCACAGTAGGGTACTGACCATGTAAGATTCCCCTGTTATTAAGGTATTTTCTTTGCCATTCAGTTTTTCTCTGTTATTTTGCTGCAAATCTGAAGTCTGGTAGCTTGATTCCACCTAATTTGTTTTTTTTCTGAGTAATGAGACAGATGTTTTGTCTGATACTAGCAAGCTTAAGTAATACTTACCTACATACACCCACAATTCCATTACTTTAAATTGAACTGATCTTTAGAGGTAAATTATTTATTTATTTATTTGAGACAGTGTTTTATTTTGTTGCCCCCAGTAGAGTCCTGTGGGGTCATAGCTCACAGCAATCTCAAACTCTTGGGCTCAAGTAATTCTCTTGCCTTAGCCTCCCGAGCAGGTGGGACTACAGGTGCCTGCCATGATGCCCAGCTATTTTTAGAGATGGGGTCTTGCTCTGGCTCAGGCTGGTCTTGAATTTGTGAGCTCAGGCAATCTACCTGCTTTGGCCTCCCAGAGTGCTAGGAATACACTGTGAGCCACTGTGCCCAGCCTAAGAGATTTAGTATCTATTATTATGTCTATGAAGAAAATTAAATGGGCTTATTCTATATGAGGATGTTCCAGTGAGGTAGTTAGAGTACACAGTAGAAAGAACTTTAGATTCAGGTGGGGTTCAAATTCAAGTTGCCCAAACTCTTTCACATACCCCATACAACTTTAATTTATATATCAGTTTTAAGATATACGTTGATTTCAGAAATATTCAAAAATAAAAAAAAGAAAGTACTTCCTTGAAGTGAGAAAAATCTGGAACATTATTTAAGGAGGTTAAAGACAAGCCTGCGGTTTTCAGATGCTTGGGCTATTAATACGGACAACACTTCATGTATCAGTTCTCCCAAACAATAACCATTAGCCCCTTTAATCTTCTTTCTCTGGCTCATTAGTGATAACTATGTGGCCAGATTCTTGGCTTTATGTTGGAGAAGGAACTTTTCAACCGTCTTCTTTAAGTAGGCAGAAGAAAAACTCTTGACAATCTTATTTGGCATCACCTAGGAATCTTCCCTTTGAATACTGCACTAATTGAGTAAGATGCCAGTGGCAGCACCCATAGCTCTGTGGGTAGAGTGCCAGCCACATACACTGAGGTTGGTGGGTTCTGGGCCTGCTAAACAACAGTGACAACTGCAACAAAAAAATAGCTGGGCATTGTAGCGGGCATCTGTAGTTCCAGTCACTCAGGAGGCTGAGGCAAGAGAATCACTTAAGCCCAAGAGTTTGAGGTTGCTGTGAGCTGTGACGCCACGGCACTCTGCCAAGGGTGACACAGTGAAACTCTGTCTCAAAAAAAAGAAAAAAGAAAAAAGACACAAGATTGCAACCCACTTGCATCCTTAGTTATTGGCAGTGCTTGGAAAATTGCTATTGCAATACTAATATAGATTAATTTTCTGATCCTAATTAATAGTTATTGAAGTCATTACAATTTTATAAAGTCTTGTGGCTTTTTAGCTCCATTAATCAAAACAGTTGCTTCAGAAAGAAATGGTGTGGTTATATTACTTTTTATTTTTCACAGTAGGGTACTGACCATGTAAGATTCCCCTGTTATTAAGGTATTTATTTTCTTTGCCATTCAGTTTTTCTCTGTTATTTTGCTGCAAATGGTTCCAGAAATAAAATAGCAATTAGAGATCACTGGAGAACCAGTTACTTATCTGTAAAACTGACATAATGAAATAATAGCTAGCTAAATGACAGTATGGGATTTATAGTGCATTTTAAGTATTTTAAAAGAAAACAATACAGAATTAAATGAAAGCATACAAGCTGAATATATTAGAATAAACTCATTACTTTTCCCTTTAAAACTGAATCTTTTTTTTCTGTTATTATACTTCTAGTCATCTTGGGAGTGATGCTGGAAACTTGTTATAGTTAAAATATGAAAGAAAAAAATACAAAGGAAAACAAAACATAATATTAATTTCAATTTTCTGTTTTTGGTATTGTCAGTGGTGCCAGGATCCAAACACTTAACTTCTGATTATCTTTTTCCCTTTGTAGTCCACTCTTTTCCCAAAGGCCTCAATCATTAAGAACATTCTAATCTATTTCCTCCTTGACCCTAAGTTTTCATTCACTCTGTTATCACCCCAAACCAGTTGCAGGCATTTATTACGTTATGTCTGAATTTCTATAAAAGCCTTATAATTGGCTGCCTTGCCTACAAACTATTTTCTTCTGAGAAACATCAACTTGCAAAACTGTAGAATTACTTGTGTAACAGACAAACTATACCAAACCTGAACATGTAACTTGAGTTATCTTAAGTCAAATTGTTTTTAACAATTTTAACAACCTGATTTATATCTATCTACTTAATGCTATGTTATTTATAATAGTGACTACAAATAGATACTGCTGATTTAGCAGTAATCCCACACAGACTTATGTGCTCCAAAAGGTGAGACTGCTTGTTTGAGCAACTCACTTTATCTTACAAATTATGACCAATCTGCCTGGACCTTGCTTAATAACTTCTACCTTAAAATTACCCTATAACCAACACTGGTCCTCAAAATCTAAAAAGTACCCTTCAATAAACTTACCCTTTTGAGACATTACTGATATTGAAGGATAGCAGAATATGCCACCCCAACATGCCCTTTTGACATAAGAATTATTATTATTACTTTTCTAGGTAACATAGCCTTCATTTAATTTTCTTAGTTATTGTGTTAAAACGTTCATATTCTGCTCATAGATTCACTTGTACCCTTGTAAGATGAACCACAGACGTGAACCCTCGAATCCCCCTCCCTCCACCCATTTCCCCCCTCCCCCCTCCTCCCCCGTATCCTTAGGTTATTAGGTTATAGC